TACATATTTACACATACACGTACTACACTATTCATATATCAATGCACATATCGCAAAAAATCTCCAACAAATTTGGAAACCTAGAATATTTAAAAATAGAATTTTTTAGGTTTTACAATATGACAATCAACATTAACTTTATGTAATGTTCTAGGCAATAGGTTATTTCAAATTATATTTATATCTATGCCCATGTTTGTAAATTAAAATTGCAAATTTTGTAAATTGAGAAATTAAATTATTTATCAAAATGCAAGATTTTATAATTTTATTATCACTTGTGATATATACATTTGTGTAATGCATCAATATATCAACCACTTTAGAAAATGCAATCGTGTTAATTTTTGTTTATAAAAATCCCGCTATCCTACATTCAGTGTAATCCAATAATTCTAAAATGTATAGAAAACCTATAAATAAATTTTTAAATCTTAGTAAATCCGACATTTCAATTTAAGAATAATTGTCTCAAACTATCTTCTATAAACTATGTAATGCTCGTGATGATTATTTCACATGTTAATAATCTATTTAGCGCTAATAAAGTTAATCTTAAAACATTAAGTTTTCTAGCAATCTATTATTGAAAAGATTGAAGAGTTATCAATGTAAAAATATTATTTCACAGATAAAAAGTACAAAACCCAACATGTAAAGAATTTAGAATTTTTTATTATTAATAAAAATTGCTTGTTTTTATGCGTTACGTATATTTCTGCCTTATGCATAGATATAGATTTTTTGAGAAATTGTTATACATATTAAATGAGCAGAGAATTTTCCTGCGCGTCACTGCGGTCTATGTATATCTTATCGTATTGTCGTGTTTATTTTTGCACCCACGCGAATGCAAAAATATCTACCACTGTTTGTAAATAAATCGCGAGAACCCGCAATCACGTCATTGTGACATGCTTTTCTGAGTTTTTCGTGGAAGTTAATGCGTGTGCGCACACCTACGCATATTTCTGACATCACAAAATTTAATTCATATATATTTTTGCTTTCCTTGGCAGATCTTAGTGCCTTTCCGTTTATTTCTGGATTGCCGTGGCATACATGGCGGTCGTTGCTGGACAGGTCATGATTTTATATCAGTTTATTCCGTTTATATTGATCTTTGCAGAAAGCAAGCTTTACGCAAATCTTTGTTACTGATTATTACATTAATAATATTTACTGTTTTTAAATAAATTCTTATTAATATTCTTTGATAATAAGCCTTTTATATTATTCGTTAAAACTTATTCATTTGAGATTACTCGATTAGTATGATTCACATAAAGATTTATTTATCCTGATATTTGAGATCAGGAGGAAGATTATTCAGATATCTCTATTCTACTTCGTTCGATGAGCTTGAAAATTATTTGCTTATTTCTGGTAAGAGAAACGTGAAGGATGATAAATTTTGGAAAATGATTCATAGTGTTAAAAGTAACCCGAATTTTAACATACGAATTTAGCAAAAATCTCGTGGATTGACGCACTGATCGTGAGTCAGAGTTTCAAAATAGAAAAACTGTCACTGTTGAATCATTAGAAATATATAAACGCTGTTAAAAATATATAAACGCAATATATCGAAAAACCTTGCTTATGATACACGATAATAATATTTTTAACAATATTAAATTTTTATGGCATAAAATAGAATAAATTTAATTTAATAATTAATTTGGATAATTATAAATGAATCTTAACGCAACCTTTTAAGCTAATGCAAACGCGCTGAGCGCGTTTATTTACATATTGTCATTTTTAATTAAGTGCTTAATATATTATTAGTGCTATATTTAAAAATAGTTCTAAAATTTTTATTTAATCTTATATAAATAAATGGTCATTTCTCAATTTCAAGAGTGTCAACATTTTCAATTTTTTCTAAACTAGAATATTTCATGTAAATAATTTATCATTGCAATAATAACATTTTGAAATTTAATTTATCAATTAAATTTATTAAAATCAATTAAAATTTATAATTAAAAAGTTAATATATAGACATAATTTATATTTAAAAAATAAATAGATACAATTATTTTTCTAAAATTTTAAAAATATTTTTTATAACTTCTATATAACGGTATCATTTTTTATTCATACTCATATTTACATTATAGCAATTTGTTGTAAAATGCAATAATAATTATAAAATAAACTGTATTACAACATTATTTACATTGTGATGACATTTCTAAATCATGTAAATATTGAATACAATATATTATGTCTTTTTTACGTAATAAAATAATAATGACACAAAATAATTAAATAAAAACTAGACATAATTAAAAGAAAATGACACATGAGATTACTCTGTCCTGTTTATAACGGCACTTTCTCGACTTTGAGAAATGACGCGTCGTTTACCTGCCAAAGTGGGCGTCCAGGCATGGCGGATTTGCGTAACTCGTCGTCAACCTCCTCTCCAAAATTCCGTCGAGCGTCGAGCACAGCTTTTCACCGACTCAAGCTCAAGCACAAAAAGTGTGCTCCACCGCGACGGTGCTGCGTATATATGCGTGACAGGTATGTGTCCGTGTTGGTGAACGTGGGGGTGTTTCTATATATGGATCACTTACTCACCACTTACTCCAGACTTGAATACGATTCATCGGATATCTATGAGAGAGTATCATAGATGACGCGAACACGATGGCGTCCGATCATAGACGTAGTAAGTATAGACTGCTCATGACGTTCGCAGAATGTCGAGAATTTAGAAAGAATAAGAAGACTGAATAGATTTTTTTTCTCCGTCACACATACTCCTTGTTGAAAAGTCCGAATTGAAAAGAGATAGCGATTTTATTGAAATTGTGCGTTCTCTGTACGCGCTCTGCTTAGGCGCAGAGATGGGGAACGAGTAGTCTATACTTATACTATGTCTTGCAATAGATATGTATGTTCTTAATTAAATATTATTATTACTATAAATGTACAAATACAAAAATCAACAACAAATAACAGTAATATACATTCGACACATCTTGTCGCTTCAAAAGTTAAATTCACTCAAATGAATAAACCTAAGTTCCTGTTTTGATTTTTGCTCTTTGCTTTGATTTTTTTCGATTATAATAGAATGCCAGTATTAAAAAAATAAAAATTATATATCTTAATATATAAATATATTTAACAATTTCAAAAATATAACGGAAGACAAATCATTTTTTATATAAAAACTTTATACACTTTTTTTAAATTAAATTTTGTTATAATTACTTTTTTTAATTTTTTCTTAACTTTTTGCTCTGTATATGTTAAAAAGAGATAAAAAGACGAGAAAGAAAGAACCTATTTTAATTTTCTAAAATTTTACTTAAAATGATTTAAAATGGAAGCACTTTCATCATTGGTAGCGTGGCCGAGCGGTCTAAGGCGCTGGTTTAAGGCACCAGTCTCTTCGGAGGCGTGGGTTCGAATCCCACCGCTGCCATTTTTTTTTATCCACGCCCCATATGCTACGCTCGCGACCTCGCCACTCCAAGCTGCGCGGCGACCGCGCGATATGCAATTAGCAAAACGCAGTGGTAGCGTCTCCTCCGAAGGTCCAATGGGTTGCGTCGGCACGCGGCGCCGTGGTTCACACCTATTAGGGAAACATGTATCGCATGAAAGCTGACCTCTCTCTCTATACGCGACATCTGTGAGAGCGGTAGTCTATCTTGTCAGACTAGCAAGTTTAATTTATCAAACAAGTAGAATACTGCTTATAATAAATATTATCAGTATGTCCCTATAAATATTAATTAAAATTAGTCTTGAAAATGCAAGATTGACGATAGAAAATTATTCGATTTTATTTTGTCTTATTATCATTTAGAAATAATGTTGGAATAATGGCCATTAGATTACAAATTTAAAAGTATTGGAAAGTGATGTCGTTTATTATACGTAAGAAGACAAATAGTTAGAATAACATTTATTATTCATTCAAGAATATAATTTTTATTGTAATTTATGACTTCTGTCTACTTGTATATTAAATTTTTAATATAATCTTAGAAAAATACGATTGATTCGTATCTTTTCTTGTATATACAAAATTTAACTTTACTTTCCAAGTGCACTTAATAATATGCTTAAACTGCTATTATACATATTCGAATGTAATGAATAAATAAGTCAATAATGATCAATGCAGAATTAAATAAAATATACGTACATTTGTTTGAAATTGAAGAACTTTTATACAAACTTCTATTAACAGTTTAGGTATCCTACGTAGCAGATCTGAATTTATGTATCTTAGATTTCTCTTTGATATTACACTCTCCTCTGAAGAAAATAAGGTGGAAGGTTCAATTCACGAGATACGAAGCGAAGAAATGTATGCATCTTACAGAAGCTTGTTTACAGTTCGTGTAGTCTCATGCTCTTGCAAGCAGATGGGATCCTGTTGACGTTGTTGTCGTCAGGGGCTCGCCAGTCCTGCCAGTTTCGGTTAAAAGGGATTGTTATTGAACGCTCATGAAACGGCGAAGGAGAGAACGGAGGGCGATACAATAATAATCACGGTATCGGAAAAAGGTGGACGGAAATGTGCTCCGAAGCGGCGTGGTACCCTGATACAGGTTTCATTCAAAAGATGCTACCACGAACCACGCCCAATTGACGCGACTCTCTGCGTCTCGAAGGAAATCGGTGAGCCATTAATATGTCGCAAATAAACGTCAAGTAGCACTGTGTCATATTTATACGCATATACAAATATATACACACACATATACAAATTATTATATATTACATTGTCTGATTAAAAATTTAGTAAAGTATAATTATCATAATTTATACACAAGGCTCTAAATTGTGTCACCTATATTGTTAAAATATTGCTAACACAAGGAATAAAAAATGCTAAATATAATATTCTTATGTCCATTTCTTCTTATTGTGCAATCTTTTTTTCTTGTACGATATATTTAAAAGAAATAAAGATTTAATTTCATACAACAAAAATTACATTAATAAATTATTATCGTGTAACTATTTGTTGTCATATAACTTTTTTATTTAACAAGTGTTAGAAACATTTTTTCTGACCTCATATTATTGTTATTAATAATGTTATTTTGTTATAAGATTTTGAATTTTTAAGGCCTTCCACGTTGCAATAATTGGTAATTAAATGAAGATTGTTATCAAATACTATTATGAAATTATAGTTACAGTCAGACTAACTGTCAATCTAAGAATATCGATATAACTAGACTCCGTGGCGCAACGGTAGCGCGTCTGACTCCAGATCAGAAGGTTGCGTGTTCAAATCACGTCGGGGTCAAAGATCGTAACTTTTGTCAACGAGATTAATTACAGACCGTTTGTCAATTCTCGCTTCTCGTCTACTTTTTGTTTTAAATATCAACTGCGCTTGTAAATGTCGCGAGTATGATTTTATTTTATGGCCTAATACAGTACTGAATAAATTAAAATAAATTTTTATCTAATCGTCAAATAAGTTTATGATTACGTAAACAAATATTCAGAATTTCATAATATTGTTCCAGATACATCTACAAATTTATTATGCTATTGCAATCCGCCGTGGAGAATTAGGTCAAAGCGTTTGAAAATACATTCGTTCGTCGCTGCGCTTCACAAATATGCTCGGCGTTTAACCTTCGCGACAAAATAAATTATTCCCTTTCAACGCGTTCATACATACGCACAGTGGAAAAGTTGTCGCATGACGCGGCGATCACGTCTATGATCAATATTTTCTTAGCGCATAATGAAGCGCAAGTGCGTGCTCACATCCCGCACACAGGCCGTACATTATCAGGGCACCATGAATGGCGCACTTTCTCCTCTCTCGTACAGTTAAGCGTCATTCGCGCGGGTTGTCTCATTTAGCCCCTCCTCATACCAGGCTAACACGCGAAGCATGGAAGTCTCGCTCATCGTGTGTCTTCTTGTATTACCTATGGTACTTAAGTAGATTTAAATAGATTTGTGTACATCGCTATCGCGAACGATTATGGGGAAGAGTCGTTGTTATAATTAATAAAAACGTTTCAAGTGTATATAAACTATATTGTACGTTTGTCAAACAATATTATTGTTCTGATAGGATTCCACGATTCTTTTCTTTCATTCATCATCATCATTAATCGTCGCAATTGCCGTTTAGCTCTTAAAAATTTAGTTGAATATTTTGTCAACGTAAATAAGTCACTAGAATCAAATCATCCATTAAATTTGAGAACCTATTTTCTCGTTCTTTTGCTATAATCAAAGAAATTCCTAAACCTTCCTCCTCCACTTTCCAGCACGATCACACTTTCTCACATAAACTCAGCATAAATTACAAAGAATTTAACAATAACAGATAATAAGCTGATTCTAAATTTTTCTATTTTATTTTAAATTTAGCATAACTCATGTAAACATTAGTTTTAATAATTTAACTAGAATTATTAAATGCTTGTTAAACTAAAATTTAACTTTTTCTGATTTTATTTGAAACCCTCGCCCATTCAACTCCTTCTTTAAAGATTATACGGGTTCCTTCCCTATGCAGGTATGCCTGTGCAGGTCTACCGGATACCTGTAAGGCATACCTCCGGCACCTAAGGCACCTACACGCTCCGGTAAACCTATTAGTATTCGGCTGACCATCGACGACGTTTTAGCGGTAAAGCTTATTATTAACAAATCTTTTAAACATAAAATAAAACGTGGTGTTTGGTGTAAAGAATGGTTAAAAAAAAAAGTTTGTTCATATGTAAACTTGCTAAATGAATTGCAGTTTGCACCTAAAGATTGACATAATTATCAGAGCTCAATGCTCACTGATAATAAGATATTCAGGAAAACATAGGAAAGATAAAAAATCATGTCAATCGGAAACATTTTCGATAAGATACGTATAACTTTACTTTTCAGTTGTGTATGCTTGCGTCGAGTTGTGTCGTTGTAGAAAAGCATTGTGTCGAATGCACTGGTGACTTTTATAGCTTGTATCCCTTGCTAGTAAGCGGTTTCGTAGCTGTGTCGAGTTGAGTCCGCTTGTGTCATAGTAGAAAAGCATTAACACTGTGTTACACTGTCTCTTGCTAGAAATCAACCATAGTAAACGATATCTGTTGTCTGGGGCCACGCCACTACACACGCTTTAGTTTACCTGCGCAGGCTACTCCAACGCAGGTATATAAAATGATTTTTTGCATTTGCTCCGATCGCCTGCACAGATCAAAATAACTGTAGTTTTATCATCTACACGCTCCGATACCTTGCGCAGGCATATTTAAATAGATTTACCAGAATGTGTGTAGCTGGCTTTACGATCCACCCGCTTTCCTTAAAAACGTAACATTATATTCTTTAAAGTATTACTTATCTCGTATTGCATTATGATAATTATATCATATAATTGTGTGTTGTGTGACGTATGCTTATATGTGTGAGATAACCATTGTAAAAATTAAGATAATATTTAAACCGCCGACTTACATTTAAAATAAAATAAAATAAAATCATAGAATGGTTACATTTTAAAAGAGCATTTAAACATTATTTTCAAAATAATATTTTCTCAATCTTTCTTAAAATAAAAAAATTTTAAGTAAAAAAATTGATTAAAACAAAATGATATAAAATTTGATTTTGGCAAATAAATCTTTAAATTAATATATAAAGTTTTAATATTTATTTAAAAAAAATATATTTTAATATGTAGAATTAGGAATTAATATTAAAATTTTTACTGACTTACAAAATAACAAATATCAAAAATTGTCTATCCTTTCACATATCGTATTCTTGTCGCAATTACATTTTTGAGTCGGCATTGCTCATCTTACGTATTGTATCACACACATATCAATATCACAAGTATTAATATCACAAACATAATCTTTGAATCACATCACAGCATGTAAGAAAACGACAAATCAATCTCCTAAATACAGTCACGAAGTCTGCACTTGACCCAAAACGAAAGATCACGCGGCACTGACGTATTGTTCGAAACAATATTGCCGGGAGATGCGCGTCAATCTATCATCGTTCCCCCGCTCGTTCTCCTCACGCGGTAATTTACACGCGGCCCGCATGCGCATCTACGCCAGGTGAACCGGCAGAATGGACATAATCAACAATTTAACCGACTGAAGAGCGGGAACGCAGGAAAGAACAGCAAGCATTCGCTCGCAAGCGGATGTTAGTAGCCGTACCGTGCGTACGACTCCTGTCATCTCCTACTCCCCGTGGATCGGAAAGACACAATTTTGAGGAAGAGCCGCGCGGGCCCTAAGCGCCGCCACGGCGCGGCCATACCCGATTGGTCCACGACGATCTCTTTCCACCGCTTATTGGTTCAATGACTCCGGCGTGGACGGAAATTTCGGCAGGGCTACGGGCCCGTGAACGCCAGAACGGCACGGATTCCACCGGGCCGCGCCCGTCCGGCGGAGATTCGCGCGCGACGACGCGCAACCGCGCATCAAACGGCCGCCCTGTACACGCCCCGCATGTCAGCAATCGTGTTGTCGCGGGACAGTGACACCGTTTTTCCCCAAAAACTAGCATTAATAATACGCGACCCCCTCCCGCGCTCTTCACCGCACGTTATCGTTGACAACGACAGTATACGTGAGCATCGGTTACGAATTTTCACGATTCAGTCTTTCGTATTATATATCAAATTAACGCGCATCGTGCATCACATCTCACACGCACTGCAAGACGGCTCCCAAATGGATCGAACGTTATTACGTTTTCCCCTAAAATTAAAGTCGCTGCGCACGAGAGTGGGGACTGCTATCCGCAAAGGGAGATGTGTATGTATATATACAAGGTGACTCGTAACACTACAGTTAGCGACGACGTCTGACTGACGTCCGTGAATATGCCGAAGCGACAGGGAATAGAATTGCATAGCACACATATGAATTATAAATAAAAGAAATTAAAACATTACATGTCAGATTTAAGAAGTTCATTGAGATATTAAATTTGAAAGTTTCAAGCCCTGAATTTTAAAGTTCCAAATTTTTAGTCTCTCTTTCTTACCATAAAAATTATTTCACTATGTCCTATATATCTTCTTCTATTGTAAAGAAGCGATTTATGAGATTTTAAATATCTCATATTAAGATGTTTTACTTGGTCAAAATTACATTATATTTATAACATAATAATTAAATATAAATAAATTCGCACTTTATAACTGCATATTCACATGCAGAGAATCATCTGATATAAAATCAGTTGTATTAAATTTATTCCGACTGTTCACGCGCTGTTTTTAACATTTCGCGGTAGGGAATCTCATGTTTGCATAACTTGGCGATACACCCTGTACATAATCGTGCGTGTACACGTACATAGAATGGCTTGTTGACACTAGCGCTTCTATCGGTGGCGTCACGAAATTACAGGCGGCCGCATGCGTTCCTGTTGAAAAAATTCCTCACGGGCGAAAGTCAAGGTATGACGGAATATCGCAATAACCGACCGGCAAGCGGAACCGACTGCCTCCTTGCCTTGCGTGCTCCCCTGGCAGCAGGAGGGGCTCGACGAGACAACCCGCGCGAAACTCTGTTCAACGTAGGGAGAGCGGCCGCCTTGCATTTGGCTCCTACTGTCTCGTGTTGCCCGAGTATTGCGATGCTCGCATGCGGGATGTGAGCACGCACCACGTGCTCGTCACCGAGCACACTGGGGTGATGCGCGGCCGACGATCAACGATCGGACACCGTCGATTCGTCGTCACCATGCTCGCATTGCCAGTGAGTTTGCTTTGCGTTCACATTTTCATGTTCTATAGCGTAGTTACGAGTTTATGTAGCGCATTACAAAACAATGAGTATTCACCAGTTCCATAAAAAAACAGGTTAATTGATAATTATGATTGTATTGTATATTGTATTGTAATTGTCTATACATGCATATATATAGTGTAATCACACAATTATATATATATTTAAATAATTTATACGTATAATTATATATATATTCTGAACGTAAAAGCAAATATCAATTCGCGCATTTCACTTTTAAAAATCAGATTTATCACGAATTTACCACGTCATGATATAAAACTTAAACGCACGCAAAATAAAATGCACTTTGCGCTGTAATTATATCGCAATAACTAAATATTATTTGGTTTATTATATAGGTATAACCAAACCGATTAAATAAAATAATAGAGAAACCGATTAAATAGAAGACAAGAAAGAGATTCGATATAGGTATATGTAGTTTTTTATTCAAAAATTGTATTTAAAAATTTTAATATATATATCGGAATTCTATAAAAGTTGAATTTATTATTATTTATATTTAATACAAAATTTATGAAGCAGATATTTATAAGAGAAATAAACTCATCCACACATAGATTTATTGAGACACGAATGTGTTTCTTACTTTGTGACCCGTTACTAGAAAGACTCCGTGGCGCAACGGTAGCGCGTCTGACTCCAGATCAGAAGGTTGCGTGTTCAAATCACGTCGGGGTCAAGTATAAATTTTTATCATTTTTTTTAAGCATTATCAAACATATAGAATGTTTGTTATCTTTTGCAACAGCATTTGCTGAAATGTATTTTTATACTCATCTCGTATAGAACGAAAAGTTCACACAACGTTATATGATATTTGCTCAACATTAAAACACGTTGAAACACGTACAAATTCCATAACATCTAAATGTCCAGATTAAGTACATAAAGTACATAATAGTACATAAATAGTACATAAAACGTGACTTTCTAACATCACTTTCTATGAACATTTGGACGTTGTCCCAATATTGCAGGAACATTAAGTTATACGGGATATTAACGATAGTACTCGATAACGCTGAATATTTTTGACTTGGAAATATAATTAATATTGTTTTAATTGATACGTGTATAAAAATTATAATTGCAATTATATTGATTTAATATAAAGTATTATGATATGAAACTTCAATATATCTGTAAAGAATTTTCTATGTAGCAGTCGTGGCCGAGTGGTTAAGGCGTCTGACTAGAAATCAGATTCCCTCTGGGAGCGTAGGTTCGAGTCCTACCGACTGCGAAAAGGGTTGATTATTTTTTGCATACAATGTATATATTATTTATATAATACAGATAAACATTATAGTATTGTTGTTCTATTTTTTTATTATATTATACTGTATTAATAACTAAAAATATAAAATTTTTTATTATTTCAAACTATATCCATCACTAATACATCATGAAATTATTAATAAACCGTAAAACAGCAAAAAATATAAAATTTTGCATTTATTTTTTTTATTATTTTCTAAAGATTATTCTTATAATAAAAGAAGGACAAGAAGTATGCTTTGTTTTATACTATATATAGTATATATTTATAATATTAAATTTTATCTTAAAAATATTAAACATATTTATGTAAAAATTTTTATATAAATTACATATTAGATGTAAATTTTATAATTTACTGTTTATAAAGATTATTTAAATCGAAAAATTAAAAATTCCTCGATAGTATAGTGGTTAGTATCCCCGCCTGTCACGCGGGAGACCGGGGTTCGATTCCCCGTCGGGGAGAATTTCTTTTTTTTTTATTTTTATTACCACGAATCTTTTGGATTATATATATATAAATATTAATTTAAACTTTCCAATATATAATTATATTTACATCTTCCTTTGTATGCTATTTTCAATATGTTACGGAGTTATAGTTATGGAGCTATGGCTCCAAGACTGATAAATTTAATATTTTCAAGGAAAGCCCACAGGCGCCGTGGCTTAGTTGGTTAAAGCGCCTGTCTAGTAAACAGGAGATCGGGGGTTCGAATCCCCCCGGGGCCTCAGTATCTTTTTTTTTTTTATTTATATACAGAAACAGCTGATTATGTGCATCTTGAAAAATTTCTTATTTTCTTATAATCCAGAATTATTACACACACGTGTTATAATAAAGAAAACATATATAAATTTTACTTTGGACTATTAATTTGGACTATAATTTTACATGATCTGATTAACTTTATTTATATAAAATAACGTGAGCAATAAATAAATATCATATCTAATCGGTAAATTAGTCAAATATGTAAGTAAACTTATATCTACATATATATTTTTTTATAATAAATATGTTCTGCATTATTTAAAAATTATATAGATAAAAATTATTTTCGTTACTGTAAAAAAATATACAAGCTGATATTTAGATTTAAAAATTAAACTTGTATCCATTCCCTGAGACTTTTACATGTGCCACTGATGGAGCAGACGAATAGGCGACTCCTAACAAATTCTGCGGTTGTTGTTCTAATTGTTGATGCTGCAGCTGGGTCTGTTCAGGTACAATTACTATTAATAAAAATTATACTTAAAAACAGTCAGGCAAGAAATTATTGTTTTTTTCTACGCAAAATAATTTGACAATAATGCTATTTACATACTTTACTACATATAATCATATAGCAATAATATGAAATAATATATAATGCATAATAATAATTTGTAATGTATAATATATATGAACACTAAATATTTTAATATTTTTAATTTTACTTTAATTTTTTAATGCATAGAAAGATTTACCTGGTCCGATTGCACTGCTTGCAATTGGCTTTGTTGAGTTTGCGGTATCTGCGCTTGTCTGAGAGCGAGCAATTGAGCTAATTGCGACTGGTAAATAGCATTTGGTTGATATGCATGCAAGTACGCTTGCGGTTGCTGCTGCAATTGCTGCGCATACGCTGATGCAGTAGCGGGATCTAGAGCAACTTGATAAGGTAATGGTCCATTTGCTGGTGTTGCAAAAGTCGGAGTAGCATAATTATTTGCAACGGGACCGAGTGAATAATATCCTAGAGTAATTAAATTTTTTTATTAATTTATTGCAAATTTATTTTAAAATTAACTTGTCATTTTTTCAATCTCTATGATTTTGCATTTAATATTGCAATAAATATATGTTTTGGATGTATTAAGTTGCATTATTAATAAAAAAGAATTATAAGTGTCACTAAGTACAAACCTAGACCAGGATTTCTATAGGCGAGAGCCTGCGCTATACTTGGCAAAACCTTTTGCGCTAACTGAGCATTGCCTATACTAGATGCGAATGATTGATGAGAGCTAGGTCCGTTGAATGCAAATGACGTTTGCGTTAATCCCGGCCTGATAAAACTAAAGGAAGTATGTTGCTCCGAACTACCTAATACATTTGTCGGTTTCACACCTTGAACTGGTGGCTCAGCTACGACGAAGCAAAATAATGCGCCGCAGACAATCACGTATTTCTGCAAATTGCAAATTTTTAGGTCAATCGATATAATTGTGACATTAGAATAAATGTGGCAATTGATTTAATAACAAATGTAATAATAAGCTATAAAGTTAAACGGGTGATTACTTATATAATAAATATAAAACCTTAAGGTTTTAATGCCATTATTATCTTCATTGATCCTGATAATATTATGTACAAATTGATAATAAAACAACAGTACTTAATGAGATATTGCACAAATTAGTTTAATATAAAAATTAAATATTAATCAATTAAACAAATTAGCTTAGTAATTAAAAATTTACAAGTACAGAAGTAATATTTCAATATATTTGATATGATTTGCCATTTACTCACCAGCATGATGAAAAATTGTACGAGCTGTAATGTAATATTCGTCAATAGAGAAGCACAGTCTTATCACCAGCAAAAATCACAACGGTATTACAGCGCGAAGAAATGTGGGGAGCTATATACCACGGAAACAGGCAGGTGCGAAACGTGAGTTGCATCCGACCGACATCATTTCGGTGGACACTTTCTCCGGGATACCAGTATCGAACAATTCGTGAATTACAATTAGATGATCTTAATATAGTACTTTCCCCAATATATGACAATAAAAGCCACAAAATGACAAGATTTACGCAACAGTATCTCCCTTATTTGTGTGCCAAATAAAAACAAAAATTTCGAATTTAATTGCGAGAAAATTATTTGTTTCGAGATCAAGATCACTGATAACAGAGAAAGTTACTTTCGAAGTACCTAATACGACAACAGTATTGCCGTACGGTGAGTGTTAATTGTGATCAGTACGGTTACAGAATACTAATTATCTCACCGCTAACGATGAGTGTCGATTTTTATTTCTATTGTATGAAATTCGTTGGAGAATCAATTATTTGTACAAAGTTTTACGTTAAATATATGTTAAATTACAATATCACATTTATATATTACATTTATTAATAGCATTTATCCTTAATAACATCTTTATTTACAAATTTCATGAATTGTTCGATTTTAGAATAACAAATAATCATAAATATTAATAATTTTATTTTATTCGTTTATTTTGTGAATAACGCCTTATTTTTTTAAATATTATACTAATTATTTCTAACACAACCAAAACTTTGATTCAAATTCCAAAATGTCTTTATTTATAATACGACTGCGGTATTATTTTTATCGCCACATGCGTCGTACAAAATCTTACATTACCGATAGCTATCTTAGTCATTTGGCGATAAGCATAAGTTAAAATGGATAATCTGAAAATATGTATCTCAAATATGGACAATGCGACTCTAATAATGAACGATTGATTTGTGAATTAGAAGATTTGTGCGATGTGACATTTGGATTTTCTCCTAGCAGATCTTTTCACACGTTTGAAAAGTACGATTGATAAAACATGCCCATGGCACTGGTAGCAAATAACGCGAAGCAACTCCACCATGTTGCTAATCCTAAAAGACCTCTATAAACATCTGTGGTAAATATCTATAACAAAAGAAAGAAACGTATGTTTTATTTTGTAAAATCTTTTTACGTAGATGCTTTGCTTTAAATTATAACTTATTATTATTTCGTAAGTACATATTACCTGCTTTAATGAACTTAGCGCAAGTTGAAGTTCTTCAGCAGTTTGTATAACAGTCTTATCAGCATTATCATTGCTAATTGTAGATGATAATAAGTTCGATAGATCGTCTGCTGGACACTCTTCTTCTAACGTTCCTTTTAAAATACCTTCCCAAGTAAAGCCACCTGATTCAACGAGAGATTTATATATGTATCAAGATCATTGCAGGTGTTGAATATTTCAAAATAAAAAAATTTCTTACCAAGTGTTTTATACAAAAATGTAAAAAATAAACATATAATTATGGGAACAACAAACTGTAATGCTACCACACACAGGTAATAATATACAGCTGCAATCTGCAACATATAAATAAAATTCGCTTTATTATTGAATATTTATAGCAAAAAAATAAAACATTGAGTTAAAATAATAATTATTTTATTATGATACAAACCTTTTTCTGCAAATCAATATTTGTTATTCTACCAGCTTCCTTTTTCTGAACTTCTAATCTTTGAATAGCGAGATTTAAGTAAGATTGCAGATATATTGGCATGAGTACAATCCGTAATAAAACAGCAACCACAATAATAATCAATCTCATGCTTTCAAATCTCGCAGCTGTCATTCTGTACAATAAAAATTTTTAAATTCTAATTTACATCTTTTTCATCTAATTTGATTTAGACATCTGAAACATTAACTTACAGTGGACCAGTCATGCCGCTGAATATCCGAACAGTCAAATAATCCCTACTTATTGGTGTAATCCATAAGCTTACCAACAAGAGCGGTGAGACATAGCTGATATTTGCTATTAGTAACAAGACCTTGTGATCTTTATAGTATCTGTAATAATTTTGTTATATAACAGATAATCAGTATATAATTAATATTAATTGAATTATATTAATAAAGTCTATACCTCAAAGTATCCCAATGCATTTTTGATACTCTCAATCCTGGGAAAGTAAATAAAGATCCTAATAGGCCACACCATATAGCAAGGAAAAATTTTACAACAATTTTGGAAGCTGGTCCCCTATGTTAAATACATTAATTAATATTGTAGTTATATATGTAACAATTTATATAATATTTGTAATATTAATTAGATTAATAAATAGATCTTAAACGTTTATGCATAAAAAATATTTTCAAAAGAAGAATAAAAAGAATGTGCTATTAAAAGATAGTATGCAAGCAAGTAACAAATAAAAAACGCAATAGAAATATTAAATCCAATAAAAGTGAAGCATGATTGACTTACGTAGAAGAAAGTCCTTGAGTATCTAAAAATCGGGAAGCACTGTGATTGAAACTTGTGTATGCCTTTTCCAAACCAATTTCTAACTTATTTTCATCAACTATGAGTACCATCATAGCAATAAGAAGATACGCAAATCCAGTTACAATGCATGTAGACCTTTCACCTACACTCTCTTCTCCTTTGAAATATTGTACCCAAAGAGAAAGTAGTACTTTACTATAAATTATGTAAAGAAAGTGAAATTGATATCAAAAATTCTTTAATGAAGAAACAAGAAATCTGATATTGACGCAGATTTTATAACAGAAACTTTGATCCAAAGGATACAATGCAAAGCCTAGAACTACTGTACACCATAGCACACTAAGATTTATTTCATCTTTGATTGGATAGAAATAATTGTATGCCTGTTAAATAACAAAAGCATTTAGTATCACAAAACATGTAAGGTGTAAACAATTGACAAATTATATTTAGAAATTCAAGCATTTAAATTGATAGGAAGTGATTAAAGAGTAATTACTAACCTCTGTCAATATATAAACAATAATAGCATACAAAGAGAAATCCAACAGCCATTGATATTCAGTATAATATTTTAAGTGCACTACATCGAGCATAGTCACTTTTGCACTTTCTAGCTGGATATCTAGATTTCTAGGAACATGAAAGACATCTCCCACTTTACCATTTTCACTGTGCTTTCCTTTCTTTGGTTTTTCCCTCGGTACACCAGCTAATGTTCTAAGTTGTTGATCTGTCGGATAGAGATATCTTGTCAATCTGAACAGACAAAAATATAGATGAGAGATTTTATCATTGATATCCATTGTTTGTTCTTTTTGATTATATACACATGTATAGAGGAACATACCCGGTAGAACACAAAATCCATCTTGCAAAAGAAAAATGTGGACTTAATTTTTGTATAACACTGACCATTATAAGAGTGATAACCAATTGCGCTCCCAAGAGGGCCTAAAAGAAATGTAAATTACATATAATTAATAGTTTTAAATTAATAAAATTAAAGTCAATTCATCTTTATATATGTCTTCATATTGTAAATATATATTTAGAAAATATCAAGTGCAAATATAAATATAGTAAAAGAAGCACGGGCTTCAAACATGTGTTTTTATGAATATAAAGTAAAATAGTACTATATACAATACTAAAATATACAGTATTTTTTTACTCATATATACAAAATCAGGTTAAAATTACCATGTTTAATCACGTTTTAGCGGCTCACACAAATTCTCATAAATAAAATTGTTCCATTGAAGAAACTATTTTTTTTTTAAATTTTAATCAGTTTTGAAAAACACAACGATGAAATATGTCCGATTTGCCACGAGTGATATTTGTTCTATCATCTTAAAGGGCGAAGAAGCTGTTGAGCTGGTTTTATAAATAGTTATAACCTAGCGACCGCATAACACTGAACGAATGCATCAAATTGCTTCGCATGGGGATACGAGGTTATTTCCAGTTATCACTGCACCTGTAGCAAATAATAGTATCATATGTGGTACAGTATACATGCACGCATGTGATGACGCCAGATTTGAGACGCAAGTAGCAAGCAACATAAATGGAGGGGGTACAGTGCATGCACAAACCACGTATATACATGTGAGCTCCGCGCTTCGGTTAGCTTCGGACATTAAAAAAGAGCAGACTATTTGTTTTCTTTCTTATCGAATCGGTACGAAAGCGACGTCGTTTCTGCGATTTTATTTTTAAATGTAAAGTTACATTACTTATTCTTAAATAAATGTAGCATGGACATAATTCATAAACAGATTATTTATAGATAATGAATACATGTGTGTGCATTTTTTTCATTGAATACAAAAATATCTTTCATTATTACAAATTATACTTTATTTGTTTTAATGTTTATCCAACAGTGTTCAAATATATTTTAAAAAGTATACAATAAGTCTTTTAAACAAATATAGAAAACATCTCTAAAGCATTTCTAAGATGATCTACATTACTGTTCACTAATTCTGTAATTTCTACTGGCATTTTGTCAATTGAGTTATTTCTTAGCTGTTCTATATTCAACACCAAAGGCTCAGTCTTTATACTTAAGATAAATGAGTTAGCTATTGATAATTCATAATTAATTTGTGCATAATAAGAAGCAAATAAACTTGGGTTTAAAACTTTTTCTTCACTTGTATTTAAAATTTGAAGTGCCTCTTTTAAATTTTTTATTTGTAGTTTATATAAATTTATCTGCTTGTCTTTGTCTTGTTCGTACTTTGCAAAATATTTGTATGCATAAGATATATGTAACGTTTGGTTTATAAATTGTATAGAATTTCCTAAAGCATTAGAATATTTCTTTGTTTCATTGAACCATCTCAAAACATTCACAAAAACTATTTTAGCATCATTGGAATTTGACAAATACTTGTCTGTAATCTGGTTAGTTAAATATTTTTTTTCCAAGTCTTTTTCTAAGTCAGCAAATATTAAAAATTTCATTAGTTCCTTCTCAGGCTTCGTGCAGAATTCTGATTTTGAGTTATCTGTTTCATGCAATGTGTTATCACTTTCATCTTGTGACAATTTGTATTTTGATACACGTAAAAGTCTAAGTCCATATCTTCCCCAAAAATTAGCAACCTGAACACGCATTTCTTTATAGAAATTCTGTAATTCTTCTGAAAAATTGTTTTGATTTTGTATGTCATTACTAAATGTATCCAGTATATACTCTGTAGCAGCAATATGATTTCTAGCTTCAGTAAAACGATGATTTTCTATAAAATATACGGTTAATGCAAGTGATGTGTTAGCCCATTCCAGAGATTTTTCATCTCTAGACATTATATCTGCTATTTGCTTTTCTAATAAATTATGAAAATATATTACAAATCCATGCATATTTTGAGCCATACTTGGATAAAGTTCTATTAAGGTCTCCATAATTATTGTATAAAATTCCTCTAATAAAAGCTTAGGATGCTTTTCCTCATCTTCAATACCAAGTAAAACTGTTGCATCAATAAGATCAGGACACTCATTTTCTTCATTTGTATATTTTAAATATAGCATCATTGCTTCATGTAAAAAGAAATATTGTTTCTCTGGTTTTTCCAATTTAGCCCAAATTAAACTTAATTCTATAAATACTCTCATAGTTGTCAATATAGTTTTGGGTTCACACTCTTTTCCTTTTAACAATTCCAGACATTTCATAAAATAGACTTCACCAATATATAGTTTTTCAATTTCTGCATAATTACTGTATAATACACCCATATGAAAAGAAACTGTTGCAAGGGCTATAATATCATCTAGTTTTGTGTTTGTTGAGGTGCTTACATTTTGGAACAACTGAGTTATCTTGATTTTTAACTTATTGATCGCTTTCTTGCTTTTTTCCAAACCTTTTTCTACTACTTGTAAGTTTAATTCAACTGATAAGTCTAGAAGCCTTGAAAATTCCTCACTAACATCCATACTTTCGGCGCTTTGAATTGACTCCACTTCTTTGACAAACGCTAAACAAGTATGTAAACAAGTTAATTAAAAAAAAGGTATTTTATGAATATATATATTATGTACAATCAATTTTGAATAGATTATTTCTATTACCAGATTGAAGAAGTTTGCGTGTTTGAATCTGATGTTTGTAAAATGTATACGGAAAGCCCATTATTGCTGAAGAAAATTCCCCGTGTCAGATCGCGTTTACTTATTACTGATTGCCCAACGTGGAATTTGGCGTCAGTAGTGACGCAAACCAGTTTAGCCACCAGAGCAGCATACGCACACGTGTACTGCGCAAAGCGGTCTACGCCTACAAAAGAAAGAAACACAGTTAATCTGTTACTCTCTTCGTCGGCCTGTTTTCTAGATTTATATAGGAAAGCGCGTTTTAGTATAGAGCAGCATAGAGTTAATATAGAAATTTTTACTCTTTCTAGATTAATTGTCAACTCCATGTTCTGAAACGAGTAATCGAGTGATCTTGGTACAATCCGATATTTATAAAAAAAGAAAGTGTCGCAACCTTTCCGCTTTCAAGAAATTTAAATACCCTATGTTTTCCCGATTAGTTATCTTTAAATAGTAAACCAGTATTTATATGAAGGCTACGAATTTATATGTAGACAGCTTTAGTTATATAATGCAAGTACAGTTATAAAAAAAGTGTCAAGGATGGCCGGAATCGCACCATATACTTGCAGAAGTGGGCTCCGTCAAGTAAGTTTTGTTACAATAAGCATTTATTAGTAATTAATGCTATTAATATTATATTATCTTTTACTGTTTATAATTGTTTTACTTTGATTGTGACGTAAACAATCACTAACTGAACAGCGAGTATACGTAATGACAATAGATTAGAACGCTATAATACTGATCATTTTTCTTTCATGATTCCTAATTTTATATAAGACAATATAATAGAAAAATGACTCTGCATGAACTTAATAATAAAGACGCACTTTATTGTGTTTACAATTCAAATAAGTATTATAATTCTAAATTTTACAGATCAGAGCCTTGCACACTGCAACAATTCAAAATGCTGAAGCCAGGCTCAAGACTTTCTCAGTTTACCGTTGGAATCCAGATAAGCCTGATGATAAACCATTCTTGCAGAAATATAAAGTTGATCTGAATGCGTAATTATCTTCTATTATTAAATAAATTAAATGTTTCTGTGTAATATTTGTGTAATCTTGTGTAATATTGTGTAATATTTGTGTAATATTTGTGTAATCTTGTGTAATATTGTTTTTTATTAACTCTTTTTTTACATTTAAAATAATTTAGGTGCGGCCCCATGGTTTTGGATGCACTAATTAAAATTAAAAATGAGGTTGATCCAACTTTGACATTCCGCCGTTCTTGTCGTGAAGGTATCTGCGGATCTTGTGCTATGAATATCGGAGGAACAAACACATTGGCATGTATCAGGTATGTTATATAAATTGTCATATGCTTAATATTTTGATTATTGAGGATTTATTACATAACTTACAACTTGAATGATTTTCATGTATATTTCACATGCACATTTCAAGTTATATAATATATATATATATATATATATATATATATATATAAAAATTGAAATGTAGTTACTAATAACATTTTAAAATATATCAATTATTAAGAATAGATTATTTATGTATTTCAGCAAAATTGATACAAACACAAGTTCAGCATGCGAAGTTTATCCTTTACCACATATGTATATCGTCAAAGATTTAGTACCGGATTTAACTAACTTCTACGATCAGTATCGCAGCATACAGCCCTGGCTGCAGCGTAAAGATGTAAAAGAAACTGGCAATCAACAGTATTTGCAAAGTGTAGAAGACCGTAAAAAGTTGGTAAGGATTACATTATATTTATTCAGATTTTTGTTTTAGTTACACAGTTAATTTATACTCGCTTGAAATACTTAATTTAACTTTTATTGATATAGGATGGTCTCTACGAATGTATTTTGTGTGCTTGCTGCAGCACTTCCTGTCCATCTTATTGGTGGAATGGTGATAAGTATTTAGGCCCTGCAGTACTTATGCAAGTAAGCGCATTTTGATTGTTGCTTTATTAAATGTGATATTGTGTAACAGAATGATAAAATAATCGCTAATAAGGCAGAAAAGAAACAATACAAGTAAAAAAGTCTTTAAAAATGAGCCACGAATACATGAATTAAAATTATATAATATACTATATATCAGATCTTTTTTCTGAACAAATAATATTGTATTCTACAAATAAATCATATGTAAAATGTGTAGAGTTTTAGTTGAAGTGCTTAGCTCATTCTAACAGAAGTTTCCAATTATACTGTTTGCTTTCTAAGCCTTTCTACTATTGTTATTTTTACTAGGCCTATAGATGGATTATTGATTCACGAGATACTCAAGCAAAGGAACGTCTAGAGAAATTGAAGGATCCATTCTCAGTTTTCCGCTGTCATACGATCATGAACTGCACGCGCACTTGTCCTAAGGTGAGAGTTTAGTTAACTATTTTATATTTTGCAAATTATAGTAACAATTAATTAAAACACACTATCCACAAAACACACTTCCAAGATTGGAGAATTGAGTTAAATCGAAGCACAAATATTTTGCAGGGATTAAATCCTGGAAAGGCGATAGCGGAAATAAAGAAGCTATTGTCTAATATTAGTCAGAAATCGCAACCGGATCTTGGATCAGCATCTCCATAGTTAAGCAGAAACAGGTAGAATTACAAGTTCTGTACACCTGTCTTACTACATGCAACAAATATATAATCAGTGTGATATCTCGTACAACCGAAGATGTGCAGATTAACATAGTAGCGGATAAAATGTTTTAGAACTCGAAAGATCAGTCAGCTCTACTTGTAAATAAAATGGGTTTTCCACATGGAACTATGTGACGTGTATAGTAATTATTGATGCCATAGTCATTTTTCGAGCGAAAATTACTTCAACCATTCTTTATTGGTCTGGTATATTCATGGTTCGGCAGCCATTCGAATTCTGGCTGTTTCCCGTGATCGATTATGTACCTCGGCCGTGCGTAATGTTATACCAAATATATCTTCATGGTAGCGATTCTCATCCTGAAAGAGTCATTCGAGTATAAAATGCTTAAAATTCGTAACTTATTTACATATTCAACGAGAAAAGAATAATGCATTGAAGATTATACCCTGAGTGTCAACATATACGCTTCAACTTCTTTGTCCGTCATATTGCCATGCGTTTGTATGATTTGCTTCAAAGTCTGATAAACATCTTCCGCCATTGTGCAGTCTCCGCAAACATAAAAGTGGCCGCGTTCATATACTACCATTGCGTAAATCTGAGACGCTTCTGCTTGGATCAAATCTTGCACATAAGTCTAAAATTTACACAAGATACAAAGTTAACTTTTGGTTGTAAATCTCTATTATTCGAGTATTCAAGTACCTCTGCAAATCTTTTTCTTGTTATCTTTTAAATTACAAAGCAGGTAAATACCTTCTTGAGACCAGGCTCTCGGGATAGTGCTAAAAACACCTTATCCAAGACACCAGCCTCTAACATTTCCTTCTTTTCTTGTCTGTATAGATCCAAAGTCTTTTGACGGCAGCCAAAGAACAGCCATATCTTACCAAACATTTGATCTGCAAAAATGTTACATTAGATCGTCGTTATTTACGTAAGAAATAATTATTTTGAATACTTGAGTGCTTTTGTAGGAAAGGCGCGCATTTTATACCAAAATTTGCGATACATAAAATAAGCAGGTGTATAGAAGAGAAACGCAACTTACTTTGCTGAAGTTTCATCTGAGCGAATCGATGATGCCAGAAGCCACGGAAGGGAGCAATTCCAGTGCCCGGTCCAACCAATATTATTGGCGATTTAGTTTCCATCGGCATGTAAAAGTTTGGTGCGCTTAAATATCAATTAATAATTATATTCAAGGAGAAATTTATAATAAATTAAATTGTAAAATTAAATTGACGAAATTGAGATTGCTTACCTTCGAACAAATACATATAGTAGTTCACCTTCGGATATTTCCCGCAGATAATTGGAGCAAACACCATAATGCACCGGTCCGGAACCGCCTAAAATCAGTTTGGTTAAATTTTATAATCAAAATCAAATTCATGTCAGTTTATTTTGGTGAATCTAGCGAAAAATAAAACCAAGAAGAATGAGATTTATACCTTGCGTTTGGTATTGTACCACTGCAACTGTAAGGTGTATTTGTCCTCGAAGTACGAGTGGAGATGATGAGATACTGTAAAATCTCGGCTGCAAAGGTGTTAGATGAAGCAAAAGCAACGGAGCAAACGGAGTTACAGATGGAAATTCATCCAGAACTTCAGCCAGATTGGGGAACTTCCAGTGTCTCCAGTCCTCATAAGCCGCTGGATCCTGTTTCAAGAAAAATCTTTTGAATCTTTACTATTTTCTTGCAGGTTATTATACATTTAACAAGTTGCTTGTTGTTAAAAAAAAAAATGCTCAAATATGTATAAATTCCTGTATCTGCAAATTAATTTTTAAATTCTTTTTTTTTTTTAAAGATTGCAATATCTGAAATATATTTTGTTTTCTCCATATTTTTAGCCTGAAATTTTAAACTTTTATGAATCCACCTTTTAAAATTTGATTCAATTTCTTCCTTTTAAATTTTGATAAAAAACTTTAGAAAAAAAAACCAGCTACATTTACACATTAATATATTTACATATTTACAGAGGCCAGAAGATCAAGTTGCGTCCGTTCTTTTGCGTTCGAAGCTATCGATGCGAAATATCTCAAGAGATTCGGCGTAGGTGGAGTCGTGATGTCCAGAAATCGAGTTAACAGCATTCTGAAGGAGTTTGGTAAATATCTGTCATGAGGTATCCATGTTTTTACAATGCCTGGAAAAAAGTTCTCGTTATTATTCATCGACAATGCAAAAGAGAGGAGAAAATAGATCGCATTCGTACCGTTAGGAGTGTGCGCTTGTTTCTGCATTTGCAGCTCGATTGGTGCATCGGCATCAAAAGTGGACTGCACACGCTGCAGGATCTTTTCCACAAGTTCCACTCGATTGCATGCAAATACACCCAAGTGATCCCCAGGCTTGTAAGAGATATCCATGCCCACTATGTCGTCCAGCTCCAGGAGCAATGTTGTTCCACTCAACTCGTCACCGCTCAGGTTGCTTCTTCGAAGCATATTGCACATCGTCACATTTCTGTTGTGGCATTTGCTCAATGCTTTGACAATCGGCTGAGGTTCAGCTTCCACAAAGCGGACCGTGGCAGCAGACAGCGCTTCAGAGCCCAAAGACAGGGCCACTTCCAGTAATGTGTCGTCGTCGTCCAAGCAGAATGTTTCGCACGCAATGGCGAAAGTGTCAGCTGCCCATTTGCGAAAGGTTTGCTCCTGTCCGCACATCTCGTCACCTTGGGCCAGGCGCGCCAGCCGCTCTCCGCCCAATTCGCCCAGCAAGTTGTCGACGTAACGGCCGAATGCGCAGAAATTCGGATAAGCGGACGAGCCCAGTGCAAATACGGCGAATCGAACGTTGCTGAGAGGACCGAAGGTGTCCTCGGTCTGCGAGTCCGTTGTGGAACCGCGCAATGAATCTAATCTGTCCAACTTCTTCGATCCGCCCACTTCCGTTTGACTGTTAGCCTTGATGAACGACTTGGATGTCGCTAAGCTTATTTTATTCTCGCTGTTTATGTAAGTATCGTTCATCTTCATCGCGTACAAACTCTGGGCGAAGACCTCCCCGTTTTCCGGCGGATCGCCGTTTCCGAAGGTGGAAGTCACCACTAGCAGTAGAGCCTCGTGTTCTATGTTGCTGATATCGTATTCCGCCATTGAAAGTACCTGAGAGTGAAAAGCATGACCCAGCAGTTCACCCAACTTCTCCGCGTACATCTGGGAAGTGCCAGTTTCCGTGGCGAACAGCACGGTTGCTTTTATTCGACGGGACAACGCACGTCCGAACAGTTTAGACGTGAATTTCACCGCTCTCGCGATCTGCTTGAAGTGGAACTTCCGTCTTGGTTTCTTTGTCGTCGCTTTCTTGTCGCGCCCCTTCTTCCATATGTGAGTCTTCCATGCTGGATCCTGGGCTTCGTAAGAGGGCTTCAAATAATAGAGCGCCATTTCCTGGTGAAACACCGGCGTGGCGGAGCCAGATATTGGCGGCACAATCCACAGCCAATCTGCGGGACAGCCGTTTCGCAGACGCATCTCGTTTTCGTAATGTTTCATAAAGGATTCCGAAGCTGTATGGTGGTCCACGATTGTCACGTTTTTCATCTGAAAGCTATGCAGCACCGCGACGTTGGCTTCTATCATAGCTTTATCTTTCCACAATGACGTGGACGTCCTTGTGTCCAGACCCATGTTCGACGCTATTGTCTCGAGCATATTGTATCGTTGCGCATCGCATAAATCTCTGGAGCCGATTTCCGTGCTCATGTACCAGCCGTTGAAAGGTGCCGCGGTGAAAACTAAACCTCCGCAATCGAAAACCATCCCGGATACGGCCGGGACAGCGAACCACTTCAGGCCCAGCTTTTCAAACCAATTGTACCTGTTGCCCAAACAATGCGTTTATGTACAATTATTACAGCATAACAAATTTTACAGTTTAAATAATATTATTTAATTTATCACGACAAATTTGTGAGCAATAATGACATATTGTTCAAAGAACAGGAAGTCATTCGTTTGTATCATATGATTCCATTTTATATGCATTATCAAATTTTATTGCCTTTTTTTTCATTTTCAAGAATCTAAATATACACCTATTTTATTCCAAATAAATAAAATTAAGGAAACTGCAATTAATAAATAAATATAATATGCAGCCTTTTATGATTTATGTTCTAAATAAATTAACTGTGTGGTGATCCACGATTGTCACGTTTTTCATCTGAAAGCTATGCAGCACCGCGACGTTGGCTATCATAGCTTTATCTTTCCACAGTGACGTGGACGTCCTTGTGACTAGACCCATGTTCGACGCTATTGTCTCGAGCATATTATATCTTTGCGCATCGCATAAATCTCTGGAGCTGATTTCCGTGCTCATGTACCAGACAATAAAAATAAAATTAGATTTTTGGAAACTTTAAATTATTTAACAAAAAACCTACGTGGGATGACTGAGAGATACTTCGAGTACCAGATCGCTGGGAATGTCAAAATAATCCGGATCGTGTCCATTGGCAGATAGAACCAACGGGAGTATATCAAATCTGGTCCGCGCACCTTTCCATCCTAATTTAATGCAAACCTGTTAAAGCAAAATATTATGTAAATTACTTTTAAAATACATTTTTTATTTAGGAAATTCAAGAACAGTTATAAACTTTTCTTTCAATTATAGATTGCTTGAGTTTAAGACTGAGTTTTTAACATTTTTATTAATAATAATTGTCATTTTAACACTGAACATCTTGAAAGTTTCTGTGTTAGTAAAATTTATACTATATTTCATTAATTTAATTAATATAGTATATCTTAAGGAAACATGAATATTCTGACCTCTGTAAATTCAACATTAGCAGGGTCGCCAAGAATAGTGCCATCTGGATTTTTGTATCCTGCATAATTAATCAATTGATGATTCCATACTCTATAATCATGTTTTCCATCAGTGCGTTGTGGAAACACTGTTATCGCAGACCTAAAAAATTATATATGTGAGTAATCAAATATATATGTACATATATGTGTGATCAAAAGAATCCAAATTCGAAAACTATATTTTACAATTTTATATTACAATAAAATTTATATGATTCTTATTAAATAAATGTCGAGGCTACTATGGTATTTGAATGGCAAAAGCTTAAAGTTTACCGATCAGCTTGTCAGAATTTTGCGCGCTTAGGGACATCGCATCTCGAAAGGATCCTTGCACAATACTTTATGTAGCAGATCATTTGTCAATGGCACGACTGCTTTGACAGTTCGACGCGCATCGCGTTTTAATACAATTTAGAAATTATTATCGTTAGTAAATTCGTTAGTATTGCGAACAATGTAAATAAAGTGAATAAAGTGAATAAGAGCTGAGTGAAGTGAATAAAACGTATTGAATAAAGTGTTGTGCAAGGGTCCTTTCGAGGTGCGATGTCCCTGAGCGCGCGAAATTCTGACAAGCTAATTGGTAAACTTTAAGCCTTTCCCATTCAAATACCATAGTAGCCTCGACATTTTGGTATTAAGATTTTCGTTTGTAAATGACCTCAGGAATCTGCCATTAACGGGTGATACGGTAAGTCTGGGACATCCTGTATGTAAAAATATCAAAATCACAAAGAAATAAATATTTTACCTGATGTTTCCTTTGTTTGTGCTGTACTTAATGTGGTTGCATAAAGCCTCAAACATGCCACTCGTGGTTGTAACATAGCGACAATCGAAAACCTGCAGACACGCAGAGAATTATTTTCTAAACAAATTATAAAAATATATACAGTATTTTAAATATCTATCATTCAATGATCATGCTTGAAAAATATCGCTTTCGCGCATAATGTGAAATAAACCTGCAACTTGGACCACTGTATACGACCAATGCATCTTGCAGCGTTTCGCCAAGCTAATTTTGCGCCGAAAACCAATTCTGTTTCCGTCAACTGATATGTACCAGTGGAAACCACTTCTCTTTGTACGCTCTCCCAGCGTGCGCGATGAGCGTCGCTGTTTAATCTGCATTAATTAATAATAAGAAGAAGCTCAAAAGATTTATCAATTTCAATAAGCCTATGAAAATTGTAACAACTCAAATACCTTCGAATGGAAGTGAAATATTGTTCCAGAAAGTCTTTCGCCTGGATCAGAATTTCCTCTTTGGTACGTGGCTCAGTTCCATGAGTCGGTATTTGCATCACACTACCAAGACATGCTTGATTCGTGCAAAGAGTTTTCTGAAAATTTATTCATTATTCTATCTTTATGATTTGTTGTATCTTCTTTATTATTTTATGTTTGTTATCAAAAAATCCAATAAGCTTTCTGATTCATTCATTTTAACAGAGATTATTCTATATATTTTTTGTCATTTTTAAGCTTGAAACAACTTTTGCTTATTTTGCTATTCTTCATGACTTATTCTTCATGACAGATGCTTATAAAATCGATTTTTCCTTAACAAAAACATATATATGTGAGATTTTATTAAAGTCTCTTATGTGATGATGTGTCGCTGACTTGTCGCTGAAGGTAAAAGCAGAAAAAACTCTATATATATATATATATCACTTTATATATATTTTTTTTAAGTGTGGTTACATGAGAAAAAAAATTACAAAGCATCAAGTTTATTATCAAGCAACAAATGCAATTATATTCTTTGTTCAAAAATTTTTGACACTGGCAATATTTATATATATATGTATATATATTCTGATATAAAAAATATCACAAAGTATTCATGTTTTAAATATTTTATCCCAATAAATTTATGCATTGAATGATTAGGATTGAATTAAAAAAACAAATAATTTTAATAAATAAAAAAAAATAATGAGCTGCTTTCTTATATCACACGAAAGAAATTCTCTAAAACACTTTTTTGTGTGAATTCCAATTCCCGATGAGATAGCTTGTATAATACATTGCACAACACATTTTGTGCATTTTTGATTAATTTTTTTACGTATAAAATCAGCCTCTTTCTAGTTGAACCATCAATAATACATCACTTTATGTACACCACTGTATCATTTTTGAAGAAAATCTTAACATTCCCAATCATATACGTCATGAGAGGATTTACACAGCATGAACAATATTAAGTTTTTTTTCTAAATTACCTCTGAATTTTTCACATGCAAGGAATCAAATGCCTCCGTTTTATCCGCGAGATTCCTGAGCTTTGTAGGCTTTTTTTGATGAGCTGCTCCATCGTGATCTTTCATTTTGCGTGCGAATGCTCACACCGTTTAGCCGTCCTTGCCTGACAAACTAGCGACAAGAGCGATGATAACGAGTAAAGGACGAGAAGACAGAGATGACAGAACACAGCATCTCACGTGCCGTCATCTCACATGCGCCAGCATGCGCAGCATTGATCCGCTCTGCTTGTCCACGTTTGTGGAATCAATCAACGAAATATAGATAGCACTTTCGCGCTAGAATAAAAATTTTTCACGAAAATATGATTCGCAATCTGTTAACATCACATACATTATAAATTATAAAAATAATAAAATAATTCAATAATATCATATTTTAATTTTTATTATATAATTTAATAAATCTCAGTTGAACTCAACAAAATGAACTGTTCGCGTCTCGAGGTATAAAACTCCATTTTGAGTATTTTTGATATATTCTTGTAACAAGATTAGAGTAACGACTATAAATGCTTAAAACAATGTTTTATATCTCGAGACACGGACTGTTCAATAATCTGATCAGAGAAATCAATCAGTCAAATTAATGTCAAATTAATTAGAGATTAAATTTGCTGTATTTGCTTCAAATCTTATTGGCATCTAATTAGAAATCCAACAAGATTTGTTAACAGTATAAAATTGATGGACAGAAATCGAGTGGAGTAATTATTTAAATAAAATACAAAATAAATAAATTTAAATAGTTAAGTAGGAGATTCAACTAGGTTTCTGCTATCAATCTATCTTCAAGTTACATTCATAGACTGTGGACAGAACAAAAGCTTAATGTAAAGATTTTACTTACTGGGTTTGTATAATAAATATAATATTTCTATTCTGCTAGTAGATATTAATTTTATTTTCAATATAAAAATGTATATACATGAGATTTTAATTATTCCCTAAATTGGTGGAGCAATCCCATTTCATAGATCTTTCAATAGCCATTTTCCACTTGGAATATTTGAGATCTCTTTCTAAAATAAAAATAAAACAGTTATATATTATTATTTTAGGCATTTTTATTTTTTGTCCCAAAATATTGATAATATGCAAACAAATGGAATAAGACTGCTTACCATCTTCATCAATCAGAGGTGAAAACTTGGTTATTTGAGATGCATCCACATCACTTATGTCGATTAAGCCTGCACCAATGCCAGCTAGAACAGCGGCACCCAGTGCTGTTGTCTCAACCATATTTGGTCTCACTATTCAACAGAATTATAAAATTACGAAGATTTATCTTCGAGGCAGAATAGTAAAGACAATCTATGCATGAAATTATATCATCGTCTATCTATATAATATTGATTTATCTATATAATATTGTTTATTTACCAACAGTTATGCCCGTCAAATCTGCTTGTGTTTGCATCAATAAATTGTTCACTGTCGTACCTCCGTCAACCTGCAGAGTTGTTAATTTCGTTCCTGAATCTTTTACCATTGCCTCCAATATGTCTCTCGTTTGGAAGCAAACTGCTTCCAACGCTGCTCGTATAATATGATATTGTTGCGTGTCCTCGGTAATACCGCAAATTACTCTGATTTTATTAAATTATACAGTAAAAACGTAAAAATGCGTAAAAGTTCTTAATTGAAAAAAATCAACTTTTCTACATTAATGGAAAATAAAAAAATAAAAGATAGAAACAATACCCGCGCGCGTCCTGCTGCCAATAAGGCGCATACAATCCTGAAAAGGCCGGTACAAAATACACATCGCCAGAGCATCTCACACGTTCTGCCAAATCCTGCGTCTGTCCGATGTTAGTAAGAATTTGCATATTATCCCGCAGCCAGGATAAAGCAGCTCCGGCAACAGCGACGGATCCTTCTAACGCGTAAACGGCCGGGGATCGCGCGATCTTGTAAGCAACAGTAGTTATCAAGCCTTGCGTCGAATCGACCCTCTGTAAAGCAGTATTTCTATGCATATCTCTTAATAAGTTTTCAAGCATTTCTTTTTAATATGCCTAAAGAAAAAGAAGCATTTATTCTCTATTGTATATCATTCTACATACCATGTTGTACATACCATAGTTCCTGTATTGCAAAGCAAAAAGCATCCTGTGCCATACGTGGCCTTTGCTTGACCAGGTTTTAAACATAACTGACCGAGAAGAGCTCCTTGTTGATCACCCACGCACTACAGAGCAAGAAAATGCAAGAAATATATTGTTCCATTCAAGAAATCATAGTTGAGCAAGAAGTAATATTAAAAAAGTACATAATATTTTAAATTTAATTACAAATCACAATGTTGACACTTCAAAATAAAATTACTTATATTTAAGAAATTTTTTTCTATCACTCTTTACTAGAGTTAAAGAAATAAATTAAAAAATTACTTTAGCAATCAATAAGAAAATAATACATAAATACATTTTACTTCCATACTTACACCTGCTATGGGTACACCTGCAAGTACTTCAGGATTGGAAATATGTCCGTAAACTTCTGCGCTGGAACGTATTTCAGGAAGAATATGTTGCGGAATACCAAAAAAGCGGCACAATAAAGAATCCCATTTCAATGTATCAATATTCATTAGCATTGTGCGAGATGCATTTGACACATCCGTAATATGCAACTGGCCCTTGGTGAGATTCTAAACATAGACAATATTCAGAGACAATATGTAAAATGCTTTTTTATTTTAATTTTAATGCTTATTTACCCAAATGAGCCATGTGTCAACTGTTCCAAAGGCACACTTCTCTGCATCCATCGCTTGTTTCACACGAGGAACGTTGTCTATCAACCAACGTATCTTGAGAGCACTAAAATAGGGAGACATTGGTAAACCACATAAAGGTTTCAAATAATTCTTGTTTCTCGTTTTATTAGGAACACCATCCAACACATTTTCCATGGTTGTAGTTGTCCTCATATCATGCCATACTACAAAGTTAGAACATTTTATTCAACTATGAGACAAAATTCTTTGAATAAATGCCTTAAATCGTTAAACTGAATTTCTTCAATCACTTTATTCTGTTTACTTAAATTAACTTATTAAATTGTTACTGATATTTTATTTCTATATAATCTTTTATTCTAAATTACAACTACAAAATATATGTGAGAATTTTCTATTTTTTAATCCTTTTAATTTTATGGCTATATAAATGTTAAACGTTTTGTTCCGCCTTGATTTTCTCTGCATATTTACACATTACTTGATATCTTGTATAAATATCTGTTTCATACCAATTGCATTATGC